AAAAAAAAAAAAAAAAAAAAGAAACGAAATTGAGTTATTTGTAGTGAGGTGGTTGGACCTAGAGTCCATCACACAGAGTGAAGTAAGTCAGAAAGAGAAAAACAAATACTGTATGCTAACACATATATATGGAATCTAAAAAAAAAAAACAAAACATGGTTCTGAAGAACCTAGGGGCAGGGCAGGAATAAAGACGCAGATGTAGAGAATGGACTTGAGGACATGGGGAGGGGGAAGGGTAAACTGGGACGAAGTGAGAGAGTAGCATGGACATGTATACACTACCAAATGTAAAATAGATAGCTAGTAGATAGCTAGTGGGAAGCAGCTGTATAGCACAGGGACATCAGCTCGGTGCTTTGTGACCACCTAGAGGGGTGGGATAGGGAGGGTGGGAGGGAGATGCAAGATGGAGGGTATATGGGGATATATGTCTATATATAGCTGATTCACGGTGTCATACAGCAGGAACTAACACAACATTGTAAAGCAGTTATACTCCAATAAAGATGTTTTAAAAAATTATTGGTTAATTGGGGAGTTTAAATATGAAATTTTAATAAAACCAGATTTTTTACAAGTTGTAACATTTCTGACTATGCCCATTCAGGCAGAAGTCCATCCAAAAGAGCATTCGGCTTGATTTTTCTGAAAGGTACATTGGCATTAAATATTTAACTTTAGATAAACAAGAAACATAGTGGTCCTTTGGTCAGCAAGTCCAAGGGAAGTCTGGTTCATGGCATTAAAACCAAAAAAACAAGGGAAGTTACTTGCTAGAGAGATCTGAATACTGGAGAAATCCCTGGTAGAACAATCTCCTGAAACTGGAAACTCCTGTCTGTAACAAGAAGGGATGACTGGAAATTACATGACTCTCTGACATGCCTTTGATTAGTCAGGACTGTGCCATATTCTTCACTGACCCAGATGGGACTCTGGAGAATTGGCTGTCATAGTCTTACTATGTTTCATTTTCCACAGGGACAAATTGTTACTTTAATATAAATCAATATAATTATATAAGTCAGAAAGATAAAGGAAACCAATCACCAGACCTTATAGGACACCTTCTGAAATAGCCAGTTACAGAAAGGAAGTTGTTTTTCAAGCTAAAGGGGCTGAGGTTGTATCTTGGGAGTTTTTCAGAGAAGCAGTTGCTTATGATGGATAGGTAAATGGGCTTAGTGGATCAAAGGCTGTGTTTTGGGTCTTTTTATAAGCTGAGGATGTGTTGAAATTCTGATGCTTTCCTCATCACATCATTGCCTGATCTATCCATTAGATTTCTTCTCCTTCACTGCCTCTTTTGCTGTATTGGAAGATTAAAAATTTGATTTTTTTTTCCCTAAAGTGCTTTTCAATCTCTCAGTGCTAAATAAACGTTAAATAATTAGGCTCTAATTTGCACATACTTTGTTTTAGATGGCATTGTTTGCATTCTTTTAATTATTGTGCATTTAATTTGAAAATTATACTCTTAGACTTTCCAGTAGACGTGCTTAGATAACTCTTTATTTGCATAGACAAAAAGGAAATTAGATCCCTACTTCATGTTATACCAAAAGTAAGAATTTCAGATGAATTAAGGAGTAAAATGTGAAAGACAATATACTTCATTTTAGAAGAAACTATGAGAGAATATCATGGCCTAAGAGATAGAGAGGATTTAATAAATAAGACATGAAAAATACAAAGTTAAAAAGCTTGATACGTTTTACTATAGAAAATTCAAGAACTTCTGTTCATCAGAAGACTCCATAAAGACAATAAATATACAAGACTACAAATTGGGAGAAAGTATCTGCAATATATATAATCAACAGAGGACTGATATCCAACATAGAACTCCAGAGAAGAATTCCCATGAAGAATAAGTAAATAATAAAATGAGTTAACAGGAAAATGGACAAAACACATAAACAGGCATTTCTTGGAATGGGAAATCCAATTGATATTTATGCATATGAAATAGGCTTACCCTCTTTAGTAATGTAAGAAATGTAGATTAAACCATACCCTTCAGATTAGTAGAAATTTAAAAGTCAGATAAAATTTTTACCTACGAGGTAGAATAATGAGAATTTACATAAATTTTTGGTTGGAATATAAATTGATACCACTATTTAGGAAACCAGTTTGTCATTACATTTGTCAAATAAAATTGAAGTAGTAGGTACCCTACTGCTCAGTAATTCTACTCCTGGATATTCGCTGTAAGAAACTTCCTTGTACATACATAACAGAAGATATGTTTGGGGATGTTTAAGGTAGTATTTTTTTTGTGATTACAGAAAAATGAAACAACCCATTCCAACTCTAATATAATCGATTAAAAAATTATGGTTTATTCCTAGAGTAGTAGTTTATTTCACTTCTATATAGTTGTGAAAATGGATAGCCTGCAGCTACATGTATCATTTTGAGTTAATCACACAAGCATTACAGACAGCCATCAACTTATGATGGTCTGACTTAATGATTTTTTGACTTTATGATGATTTGAAAGCGATATGCATTCAGTAGAAACCTTACTTTGCATTTTGATCTTTTCTTGGGCTAGTGATATATATGGTATGATACTTTCTTGTGATGCTAGACAGCTGTAGCACGCCTCAGCTCCCAGTCAGCCACACAATCATGACGTTAAACAACCGATACACTTATAACCATTCTGTACCCATACAAACGTTCTGGTTTTAACTTTCCGTACATATTCAATAAATTCGATCAGATATTCAACACTTTATAATGAAGTAGGCTTTGTATTAGATGATTTTGCCCAACTGTAGGCTAATGTAAGTGTTCTGAGCAAGTTTAAGGTAGGCTAGGCGAGGCTATGATGTTCAGTAGATAAGTTAGGCATGTTTTCAACTTACAGTGGGTTTATTGGGATGTAACCCCATCATAAATCAAGGAAGATTTGTATATTGAATGAAAAAAGCAAGTCACAGAAGACTGCTAAACTATGGTTCTATTTATATACAAATCCCAAACAGGCAGAATAAATAA